AGGGAAATGCACGGGACTATGGTGGTGGCACAGGGGTGATTTGGTGATGGGAAACCTGCGGGGATTACAATCGAGATGGAAAAAAAAATGTGCAAAATGATGTAAAAATAAACTTTTGTAATAATTAAAAAAAGAAATAAATAAAACACAGCTTTGAATAGAAAAAAATGTGCAAAATGATGTAAAAATAAACTTTTGTAATAATTAAAAAAAGAAAAAAGAAAAAAAAATCTCCCATCCCTAACTGTAGAGGAAACTTTACTGTGTCATACATCTCACAGAAGATTGTCCATAAGAATGCAAGTAAATAGCTAAACAGTTGGGCTTCTCAAATTAAGAGTAGATGCCTCTTATAGAGATTATATATTATCTACAATGATATGTAATGTATAGTATATTTACACTCAGTTATATATGTATTGTATGTGTGTGTCAAAAAAAATCTGAACCATTAGGTAAAACTTCTATTGATATCTCTTCATCTGAAGTTATAAGTGAATCAATTAAGACACTGAGAATTAAAAAAAGAAAAGACACTGAGAATTAGGAAGTGGTAATGTGAAAATAAAAGGGGACACAAAATACACAACTTGTTTTTCACAACATACAGTATTTCTTCATAAAATATATTATTCAAAGGTAACAGTTCACATGCCCATACACTGTTTAATGAGTAAACAAAAGTAAGTGAATCCGTGCAATAGTTTCCAACAAGAAAAAATAAATAAAATGTTATTGCATGCTAGAAAATGGATGAATCGCAAAAGCATTAAACTAAGTAAAGAAGCTAGACACACAATGACCACATATTGTAGGATTCTATTTTTGTGAAATATCCAAAAAAGACAATCCTATAGAGACAGAAAGTATATTGATTAGTGGTTGCCAGGGACTAGGAGTGAGAAAGATGCTTCACTGTAAATGGGTATTTTTTGTGGAGAGGTAATTGAGACATAAAGTGGATTTCTAGTGATGGCTGCACAACTCTAAATTGACCAAAATCATTGATGAATACATGTAAAGAAGCTGAAGTTATTGAATGTAAATTATACCTCTATAAACCTATCGAAAAGAGTGGACATGGATGACACATACATCCACACCTACATACATATATATGCAGATACATTTGAAGAGAAAACAAAAGTATTTTATGTTTTCCGGGAAGAGTTTCCATTATTTTATTTAGAGGTATATTCCTAAACATATCTTGGATTTTTTTTCCAAATTTCGTGCCTCTTTAAGCATTAAACATTGTTTCATTTTCATTGATTCTTTACTAAGGCATTTTGAGAAATTAGAGGCAACTTAGTGGTAGGTATGATGCCCATCATTATAGTTAGGCAGAAATATGTATGGATGATATTAGTGGTAAAAGAAACATTGTAAAATTTGTGAGCTGGTTATTTTCAACCTTCTGATATTAGCTTTTCTTATTTTTTTCAGAAGAGGCACCTATTCAAATCCCAATGATGAAATCACCCTTGGACAAGATCCAGCTGACTCCTGGGCAGGCATTGCCTCCTGGATTCCCAGGACCATTCATTTTTGCTGATAGTCTGTCCTCTGTGGAGACTCTGTTGACCAACATTCAGGTCAACAATATTTCTATAAACAAAATAAATGTAATACAAGACATTAGCACCTACATAAATTATTTCCTATTTGAAAAGTTATAACAGGTAAGATGAACTGCATGTCATTTGCTGTACTTTGATAGGGTCTACTGAAGGTGGCTTTGGATAATGCACGCATCCAGGAAAAACAGATTCAGCAAGAAAAAAAGGAACTGCGAATGGAGCTCTATAGAGAAAGAGAAATTAGAGAAAATCTTGAAAGACAACTTGCTGTTGAGCTGCAGAGCAGAAGTAAGTTTAACAGTTTCAATTACTGAGTGATAAATGTGTTAAGGATATTTTCAATGGTGATAGAAATAATCTCAGAGGTAACTTAGAACTGCTGAAAACAATTAACAAGCTAAGAATCAAATACTATATGTAACCCATAAGGTGGATTGATAATGCTGTTTTTCTTTGCATTAAAAAATAATGAATTTGATCTGAACTTAAGGTCAGTTGCATATTTGGAAAGGTGAATATTCTTACTTCTCTCTGAATTTACAAATATACATTTGGATTTAGATCATCAAAACAATCCTTCTATGTGAAATACTTGCTCATTGTCAAGAACAGTGCTAGATTTGGTGTTATAAAATAAATAATACTGAGTCCATGATTTCAGGATGTTTATATTTTAGAGGGCTGGAACAACCAGTTTATTTCAACATAAAATGGCAAGAGAATCAATACTTATTATGCCTGGATATATAAAAAGGGGCTAGGTAGTTCAGCTTGGTGAAGGGACAGATGGTGGGAAAAGGCTCCCTTATTCTCACACCAGAGCCTGAGTCTTGAAGAATCAGTTGACTAAGAATGTGCATGATTGCACATTCTAGACAGAGGTATCAGTGCTCATGGGCATGGAGGCAAGAAGCCTGTATAAAGACAACTGCGTATGGTTTGTTTTTGCTGGGGCTTTGAATTTTATAAAGTGAACGGGGGAAGATGATGCAGAAAGATAAAGAAGCTAAATTATGAAGATCATTTTAACCATGTAAATATTAGCTTGGGCTTTGTCTTATAGCTTATAGGGAGTATTAAATAATGCAGGTGGATGATTGAGCTGGTCTGATTTCAGTTAAGACTACTTAGGTATTGGGAATCAAACAGAGGGGGTTGTGTTAAGGTTAGAAACAAGGAAAGTAGGTAAAAGGAGACTCCTCTCAGGCAGTGCTGATGAGGACTGAGTTACAGGAGCATAAATAAGAATAAAGATTAAAGGGAGACAGTGGAGGAATATTGTTCCCAAATTGAATTAACACTCCGACATAGGTCAAAAATTAATTATCTCCAGATATGGACAATGGGACTAGTTCAGATCAGTACCAGAGAAAATTTAAAACTTTGTCAAATCAGCAGTTTTCACCTCTTCCTTACTTTCACCATAAAATCCTTCACAAAATAACGTGGTTAATTTCAATTATTTCCCTTTTCTGCTTATTCTTCTATTGAATATTAAGTAAGAGCTTAAGAGTAAGGAAAGGAAAAGAATGGTAGGGAAATTCCATATCTGGATAATACCTTCTTGAACAAGAAAGATTGACCCTGGTTGAGTGAAATCATGGACTTTATATATAAAAGTGGCATCTTATCTTTTACAATCTGTGTCAAGAAATTGAATACTGACTGTATATTTTCGTTAAGGGCCTAGGATTCCTAGTCCCAGGCCAAATGAAAATGAAGAATGTACTTGCATTTAAAAAGAATTGTCTCATCTTCCTATCTTGCCAAAGTCATTAAAAAGTACTAAATAAAGCCTAAATTGTTTTTTAAAGTTTGGAAAACTTGTTCATTTCTGGTATTTGGTACATAAAATAAATTATTACTTACAATCATATAAACAAACCCTTTAGTAGGGAATTTTCTTTTACCAAAGAGTTAATGAATCATATATTAAATATAATAACATTCTGAAAATTGACTTATGAAAACCTACTACATATATTAAAACTGGGTTCTAATTTTTCAGAATCCTAGTCAAGTATTTGTTTACTAACTTCTCACAGAATCTTTAGATCTAGCTTTCTAATTACTATTATCCCTACATTGTGTAGGTATAATATTGACTATTGAATCTGTTATCAAATTTAATTTGAAATATTCATATTCAATAAATTTATTATTGGCATTATTAAAGCTGTTGTTACTTTCACTACTACTCTACTACTATCAGTACTATTACGTCTAGCTAATGTTTTCTAATGCTGACAACTCTTTACTATTTGTTAAACACTATTTTAAATTTTTTGTATCTAATGAATAACATAATAATGGGAAACTATTATCTTCATTGATTTAGAGATGCTATCTACTTCATCCTTACAAATGTCAGTATTCTCATCTATTACAAAAAAAAAAACAAACTAGTGAACAAGATGATTAAATTCCTTTGTAATTTTCTAAGTATCTCCAATATATTCAGCTTACTGTTGCAAAGGGTGAGTTCATTATTAGAAATCATATGAATGAAAAGAATGAGAATATTGATATTCTGGTTGAAAAGTAACATCTCTAAGTAAACAGTAAAAATTGTGTATATATATATATATACACACACATATATACAAAGGACATATATAAAACTTTATGTAGTTTTCATATATAGCAATAATTCTACAATTCATCTGTCCTTTTCCAAATTAAACATCATTATTTCACATTCAAAGTAAACATTCTATCTCATTACATTATTGTTGCTAGCCAAAATGTGTTACTTGAATAAAACATATATAAACATACACAGTAATATTCTTTGCAGATCAAACACTTAAGATCATAATATAATAGAACTGTGTAAGAGCTTGGATATCACCTGTCTTAGCCCTTAAACAATATAATCCCCAGGCTTTCTAACAAATGCTTATGTGATCATTCACCTCCAGACTATGCAAACAATTAGCAGTGTAAACTTGGAAAAATTTCTTGAATTCCCAAAGACTCGGTCTCACTATGAAATAATGATAGTAGTGTTTTCCTTGCTGAGTTGTTGTAAGATTTAAATGAGACATAGTCCCAGAAACAGGCTTACTACAGATTGGATTCTAAATAAATGATAGTTATTACTTATTTATGTACATGATTTGAATGTAGTAAATTATGGTATTGCTTAAAATACAAAAGCATAAATTTCAACATATAAAATATGTTCATATAGAATGCTTTCAAACCAAGAATTTTACTGGAAACGTGATTTTATCTTAATGTCATCAAATTTAATTGAATTATTCTAGATTTCTGATTAAGTAATTTGTTAAACACTATTTGTGTGATCATAATTAAATGTAATTAATAAGTAAGATATTTTCATGTTTAGTCATATTTAATTATCTTTCATCAAAAAGACAGAGCCATTCATTCTTGGCGTCAGTGTTTTTGTTTCAAGATTTACATTTTGTTATTACCTTAGGTCTCCCATTGTGTCTCAAGTGAAGGTAAGTTTACCTTAGTAGCTGACTTTCAAGTTGCTGAAATTTATTTATATAAAGAAACATTGAACTGTGAGATAGATTTATCATAAAATTAATATATTCTGTTCAAAGTATTTTATTTGTGAATGTTGAATATTTTGAACCTGTCACATAATTTGCAATTTTAGCTTAATATTCATTGGATATTTTCTATTGTAGTAAAGTCAATATCGTAATTTAAAAAACACCTGATTTTGGAAGAATATGACATTCAGTCTATTTAGATCCTTGCTATGAGTCAGTATATTGCTGGAGTCCAGTAATTCTATTTGAGAAATTATCACAGATCATAAGGTGTCAGAATTTAGAAGAAATTATGCATTAGGGCAGTTAAATTTTCTAGTTTTTCTTTAGCTCTTCATTACACTTTCTGGTTACAAATAAATAATAGTGTTATGTTTTTTATAAATTGCTTAATCATTGCTGAAAACGTCATAGACATGTATTTTATATGTTAAATTTATATATATATATACATGCATTTATATATAAATATACATAAATGCACATATATTTATATGTATAAACATTTCATACACATGTACACATAGCCTGTACGTGCATAACACAGAATGTTAACTAAAAGGTGGTTGTTTCAATACTCCTATAGGAAGAGTGAATAAAGAATTTTGTATCTATATCATTTGAATAAGGAGAAAGACTGATGATACTGTGTATATATTTTAAAAGATAGATGTTTACTCTTACAGTTGGTAGCATATGAAACACTTGACACTAACTTTTAAAGAATACTGTAGTGTTTTGCAATGCAAGAGATATTTACTGATATTTTGCTTATTAAAATATGAATCACATTAAATTGATAATAGGATATTTAAGTGGTTGATAATTTATGATATCAGTAAATGCATATAGTTAAAGTAGGTAATAATCCTCTACTCCATTACATACAAATACTTGTGTATTATAAAACATACACACTGAAAGGTGAAAGCAAAAAGAATTCCACTTGTATGATTGAGTACTCTTTGGTTCAGCCTTGTGAGAAATGGAACTAAAAGAAGCTAATCATATGTCTCTGATACATGTATATTACTCTATCTGTATCTGTATTTTATAATCCATCAAAGCTGGCAACTGCATTTCATTGACCAAGCTCTTGCAAACTGTTGGCTTTTTTCATTTTAGCTACCATGCAAAAACGCCTGAAGAAGGAGAAAAAAGCCAAGAGAAAACTGCAGGAAGCCTTGGAATTTGAATCAAAGCGCCGGGAGCAGGTTGAGCAAGCACTTAAGCAAGCCACAACTGGTGAGAGTGGCCTGAGGATGTTAAAAGGTAATGATTGATTTGGACTTTCACACTCAAAGTACATAAAGCAAAACAATTTCAAAAAGGAAAAGAAGGAAGAGTTAAAGGGAGGGGTAGGATTTTTCCAGGTGTAATTTAGTTCATAATTAAGTTTGTCAGAATAACCCCTGTTAAAGGAGATTAAAATAGCCTAGGAGTAAAAGGAAATCCTGCTGACTTTTACAGTAGAAGTTGTAATACTAATAACTTCCCTGTACCTGAAATGTATTAGGTCCACTTATGTGGATGCATATTGGTGTTTGGTGTACTCCATTTTAATAAGGTGTAAGTTGCTGGATCCATTATTGTAGTTTGCATCAGTGTTGCGGGCTATGGAACGCGTGGTTGTAAAAGGATTTTCTAGGTAAATCCTTGAAGATTCCTTGGGAAGAGATACTTTTGTCATGAAATCTCTCAACTTCCAAAGCTTTTTTAACCCATTTTTAATTATGAAACCTCCAACACTGTTTCATATTCTAGAATATCCAACTTTTTCTTTCATAGCACATTGAAAGCACATATATTTAAATGTTATGTGTATATAACCAGGATGAGGCTAAACATTGTATATACATGAACACACACTCCATACATGTATGTAACAGAACATTAACTAAAAGGAGGTTTATTCATTACCCCTATAGGAAGAGTGAATAAAGAGTTTTGTACAAATATTCCTAGTTTTTGCTAGGCTTTTTTTTTCCTTCAAGCATTTTTGCATAGTAGCTAAAGTGTGAAAAAATTAAATTACTTGCAAACATTCAGTTCTCTTACATTGACTGTATTGAATCACTATGATCACAGTCAGTAGACATACAGTGCTGGATTATTAACTCATGACAACTATGTCTCCCTGAAACACAGAAGACAGTGGGTAAGAAATAACACACTAAGATCTCATATGACAGGGCACCTTATCATGAGAGCCATCAGCCATGATTATGTTAAAAATAACATTTCTGACCAGCAAAGGGACAAATATTCTTAATACTCTTATTATTTGAGGCCCTGACCTTTTAACTCTCAGAAAATTTGACATTTTTTACACATATCTATAAATCCAGCCATAAATGGGCTCCCCTTTATCTCTATGTTCTGTAATATAAAGGAAAAGAAGCTGTTTATACAACATGATGGGTGCCTTGTTTTCATATCATTTCCTTCTCACATTAATTTGAATGATACACTGGCATCTGTTATCACATTACCCAAGGGTGTCCTAGAAAATGTGTGTAAACAAAAATTCCCATATTAAGCTGTGCTTCATGTAGATGAATAGCTTTTAATCACATTTCATATTTAAAATTGAAAATGCAAGTCCAACTCTTGTTTCTTTTATTCAAGTTTTTTCAAGCAATACAGGTATCCTCTTGTCCTTAGAGCCATGCCACAAGCTATAACCCGTGTTTTGATATTGAATCTCCTCTGTCAAACCTTAGAAACCGAAAATATTCCATTTAAGTGGGACACTTCCATCTATGCAGTTGTCTCTGTGTCTTCCTTTTTTTTATAGTACTATCAATTCACAGTTTAATAGTATAAGGTGGTATAAATCCATATAGTTTAAATGTTTATAATATAAATTTATATGTCAATAAAATTAGTTCATATATGATATTTTAGAACTATGGTATCTTCTATTTAATATCATTTCATACATCTAATATTTTGTTAATATAAATGAACATAACAATAATCCATAAACTGATTTGTCACTAAATCTGTACACAATAAGAAACTATTTCTTACTGGCAGGATGCACGGAGAATTATTTAATCATACTGCAATTTTATTTTTATTTATTCATTTATTTATATTTTATATCATTGTCCATTTCTGTACAATGACTTGAAATTTGTAAATGAAATACCATGTCTGTCTTTTTCTTATTCCACAGTCAAAGCATGTTACCTAATAGTTTGTAGAATTCTATGGACAGATTATATCTCTGAGATTTATCTCTGAAGAATGAAATGAAGATGCATTTACTGTATACCTAGAAATATATTGTAGAATTCAGCTACAGCTTATGATTCTCCCTCCTACCATTAAAAAAATAGACATACAAAAAAACAAACGACAAAAAATGCCACCCACAGTCTTGTTTTATCTATAGGACTGAAATCATTGTTTAGGATTTGTTCTTTGAAATGGAAAGAGGAAAACCAGAATTGTAACTATTAATCTTGAATGCCACTTCTTTTAGATGCCAGAATTGCAGATAATGAAATAGAAAACAGTGGGACTCCTCATGATAGTACTGCTATGCAAGGTACAGTAAATAGCATGATTCTCTCTATAAATTCTTAATATGTTAATCACGAGTCTTTCTGCAACTAAATACATGACATCAGGTGGAGTAGGGATGCTCATCTTATGTTGATATTCTTCACATAAGTACAATAAATAAGTTTAAGTCTGCTTCATTTATGGTAGAGTGAAATCTGCAATGTTTTTTTGAGGTTATACTACTAATTGTATGCACACAATGGGAACAAATTTCTCATATGTTTGGCTAAGGAACGTTTTGTACATTAGGCATTTTGAAAAAATACATAAATGTGAATATAATTTACCAGTGGGAAGTGTACAGATGTATTTTTTAAAATCTCATTACTTTTTCAAAAATCACAGGGGCAGTAATTGTAACTTACAATATTTTAAGTGTTCTAAACAACATTTCTCATCAAAATTTATATATATATATCCCCATGCTGCTCTTAGATATCTTTAGAAACTGCCTAGATACGGAAATGAGTGCAACTTGTAATTTGCAGGATTCCAGTGAAGGCTTAAATACTTCAAATTTTAAATGTAGTTAAACAATGTTTAATAGTAAAATGTAGTTCAAACAAATCAATATAGTTTCACTAAAGCTGTCAAAAGCACCTAAAAGTAAAATTTGAATTTCACCTCTGAAGTTTTCCAGTGTGATTCTGGTGCAATTTTGTAGCACTTTGTATGTTGACTTATTTATTTTCACACTTATTATGAAAAAATAAGTCTCATTCTAATTAACAAGACAATACATCTCCATGTGAAACTTACCTCCTAACTATTACAAAGGAAGATACCCATGGATATGTTACTTCCTGGATGTTTAAATAATCAGTAGCTTTCCACTGGATCTACATGAGGGCAACAGAACCAGATGTGTTTAAAAGAGTCACTTGGGTTCATCAGACGATAATCATTCTCTGTGACAGCTTCAGAAAATATAGAAGCGTAAAAGCATTTCAAATGTTCTAAAGTTTCTTAACTTTCATGTAACAAGTAACAGCTACCTTATTTATGGAAAGTCAATTAGGCATATTCATTCTGCAATTGGTTCAATTTTTGTAATGAAGTCTATAAGCAAGGCTTCTTGAATATCAACTTGAACTTAAAGATATATTTAATATTTGTTTTCACTGAACACAGTTTTAAGAATTTCTCCCAGCTTTTGCTGGTTCAACATAGAATTAGATGTACCTCTAAAAGGACTGAAATAGGGCTTATTTTAGAGCAAGTGAATTAAATATTTTCATTATAACTCAGGTTGCTTTGATGCGTGCTTAATATTAATGTACAGTAAAATAAGATGGGTTATAATGCCTTATCAAATATCTTCACATTAGATTATGTTAAATAACATTTGAAATGTGATAAAAATGGAAAAGTATACATTCTTCCCTTTCTCAGTTGAACATGTAAAGCACTGTAAACGATAAAGTTCCCATCAAACTTACTACAAAACTTAAGTGAAAACCTTATATTAAAATGTCAGTAACATCACAGTTTAACATACAAAATAAATTATTTTTGAACAAAATGTTTTGTTCTATTAGTCAAGGGACCAAATACCTGAAAATATTATCAAAACTAATCTTAAATATAACTCACCAATCCAAATAATTATCTGAAACCCCAATAAAATAGCTTTTCAATCAAGATACTCAGAATTGAAAGATTATTTGTATGTGTACCTCTAAACTTTAGAAAATGTGTAATACTTAGAAAACATAGCATGCATCTTTCTGTTCTTCTAGTGATTTTGTCCTTGTATATTATATAGTTCCTTTTTAACTTATTTTGATACTGATTTCATCTTTTCCTGTTCCCTCATTTCCTCACTTAAGTTGGAAGAGTATTTTCTAGTTTTGTTGGTATGGGTCGCTTTCACACATACCAAAAGAATGCCATTTCCAAAACTCATCTCTATCACAGCAAAAAAAATTCCAGCATCAGTGAAGTTCTTTCTTTTGATGTTGCAAGTAGCTTAGTTGGCTAGAACTCTGCCATTCACCTAGTCATCCCCCTTTGAATTTCACTTAGTTCCAGTTTGGTGTCTCTTCAAGAGAATTTCAAGAAGGCTTAGAGAATGTTGTTGGCACACTGTTAGAAGCAATAGTCATATACCATTTTATGACACTTTTCACATGAAGTTTAGTAAAACAAACTGCTCAATGTACTAGAATCCTTACATGTACCCTAAGCCTCTTATTTACTTCATGTCTTTTGTGTGTTAAATGTTGTTTGACAAATAAGATATCAGATATAGCTACCTTCTGATAAGAGAATTTCTGTGTCTCTTTTATTTATCTATAAGTCTATGACAACTCCTAAATAATTTCAGGTGATCAGACAACAAAATACGCTCACTCTTTTAAAAGCTTACAATTGCTAGAGGATTCTGTGCAACATATACATTTCACACCTTCCCACCCAGACTCCCTTAACTCACTCAGTTGGAGACTAGTGAGAGGGAACATCAACTATCTTATCAACTAATCTCCACTTAATAAAAAGTAAACATACAGGGATGTCATTTAGTGCACCTTCACATCAATGATTTTTGCAAATGACATTCAAGTACAGTTTGTGCATACATTTTTGCTGATAAAAGCAAATTAAATTAGCACAACTACATGTGCACTGATGGAAATGAAAACCGAACAGCAGTACCATTAGCTAACAAAGTAATATTTTCTCTTTACTGTTTTCTGCCATTTAGTTATTATCCTATTGAAAAATCTAATTATAATCCTTTTACTCCCTAGTCAAACTTCGCAGTTTTTGCAAGCTTAGCACTGACAAGTGATTTCATTACATTTGATTGCCTGCACCCAGATTGACTTAACTTCACTTGGAGACCTAAAAGCCCTCTCAGTTTCTCAGATTCCCTGTTTGTACATTATAACAACAGCCCCTTTAATTAATTAGCATGAACAGCAGTGACATGAACTGCTGAACAGAAAATAACATCTTTTTATGATCGCAGGGAGATTTCTCCTTTGCATGTTTATACCTTAGTTAACTTTGTGTGACTATATTTCATTTTTAGGGTCTATTGGTACAGTTGAAAGTGCATGTTTCCTAAATTTTGGAAAATTGACATCATCTTCTTAATAATAATAGAAAATTAAACCCAGAATTTGAATCTCCTTAATTTGAGAAAACAAACAATATATAACTGACTTTCCAGTAATAAAATAAAATTAAAAGGTTCAGGAAAGATAACAGCATACAGTGCAAGTACACAGTGATAGAGTGCTCACATTTCTGCCACTGCATTTGTTTTGAGTAAAATTAAACAAAACTTGAGAATGCTTTTGTAGGAGGAGTGTCAATCTCTGTGAAAAGTATTTGTTTGCTTTTTTTTTTTTTTTTTGCTTAGATGTTTAACTAAGATGCAAAAAAAAAAAAAAAATAACACTGGAATATATTTTTCCTATGATATTTTTCTACAAATATGGTGGGCAATTAGAAAATTTTCCCTTTTTGCTACTAACATTCAAGATGTAGATATCAAATCCAACACACATGTCAACAATCAGCCAAAATTTGATGTAAAACATAAGCCAAATAGGTCTGTTTTTTCTTGTGAACAACTTTTATTCAACAAAAAATTGTGGGACTTTATTCAGAGAGCATAAAACTGAAAATTTGAAAATACAGAAAGCATGACCTCATCTGTGCATCACATGGTGAAGATGCCACTGAAGAATTAAAAATAAACTGATTGGTGTCACTTGACTCTTAAAGCAGCACACACAATTTTAACATCTTTATGTTATATTTTATAACTTTATTTAGTATACACATATTTATACTGCAGAACTTGAAACATATATTTTTGCTATGAATTATAGATGACTATGTATCTTGTTACCCATTCTTTCAAAATCAATTTGAAAGTTTCTAGCTTTCCTTGATTCTCAAAACCTCCTTACCAGCTTCTCTGCTACAAACTTGGTAACCTAGAATCACACTCGTCCAAAGGAGCTTATGTCAATACTTACTGAAAACAATTACACATAGGCTGAGATTGTCTTTACAGAATTTAGTAGAATAGCGATGAAAGTGATGGGAGGTGCAGGTAATGGAACTGGAAAAGATGAATCACATGAGATTTCTGGTCATGTATGTGACATGTCAAGACAAACTAAAAAGAGCAGATGGAATTTCCCTATAGGTTTTTCTACTAACTCCCACTGCAGTTTACATATATCTGTAGGGTTTCCACAAACTACTTACTGACCTAACTTCATCAATCATTAATGCCCTTTCTTTTTGATATCTTGCACTACACAGGAAGACACACACACGCGCGCGCACACACACTATGTTCCAACTGTCCAGTAGAAAAGTTCCATTGCAAAGTGGAAATACCAAGCGTATTAGAAATTAGAGAAATTGTAGGAAGTAGGACCTCTTTCGTCTTCAGTCTTTCTTTTTGAGAAGGGGAGCATCTTCCTACCCAGAGAAACTCTGTACTTGCCATTATGAATCTGTGCAAACTTGGGAAATATCTGCTGGGTCCTCACCCATATGCTTACAACTGCAAGACAAAATTCAGAGTACAAATGTGTCTATTTACAAGGGAGAATTTGGGAGAGATAAGGAAAATTTCTAAGGCCATAAACGGCTATCTGTCCTACCCCAGATCATGTCCACAGTGTCCAGTCATCCAAACCAAAAGCTGCTCATGCAAGATGGCATCAATTTAATGAGACCTGGCAGCTGGTGACGCAGTGATAAGTGGTAGACTAGAACCCAGCTCTTAATGGTGACTGGAGGTAGTCACAGGTGGCATTCCCAGGTGGCACCAGCAGCTATCAATACCTAGCCTGAGTTTGGGTGAGCAGCAGCATCAGCAGCAGCAACAACAGGAGGTGATGCCAGTCTTGCTGGATGTTGCAGTGGTGGTGGTGCCCGAGAAGCAGAGGAAGCAGACAGCTCTTAGAGACGAGTGGACAGCTTTTCAAGGTGGATGGACACAGGTCTGCAGCA